CCGTAGTTCCCACTAACAGATTTTGATGTCCCTCGGGTTACCAACCTCTCTGGACGATTTTCACTTTCAATCTTCCCTCTATGATAATGCCGAGGGACGATATTCTCGTCTAGATAAACCGAAACGTCGATCAAATTTGGACAGAATGTAAGTACCAATCTCCTTTAGCTTTATTCCTGATTCTCTACGCGCTGAAAAGCGTAATTTCTTACTAATACCATTTGCTCTTACACGCAGCTTTAGCTCATTCACCGTTCATCTGAAGGAAACGACTTTTCAAACACAGACTAAATCTCAGAATCCCGTACGGGTCCGTTACAGAACATACACCTTCACAACTTGAATATCCAGCATATGGCGGATTTAATTATTTGTCACTCAAGCTTCCACAGGACCCCTGGGACTACTTGACCCCAAGGCCAATGCAGTTCTGAGCCCATCCCAGACACGAAGAACTCTAAAGAGTTGGCAGTCGACACCCCACCATATCTTCCTACCCTTTTATACTTTTCTATTTTGTTTTTCTCACTTCCCAATGTAATATCATGAACTATCGCACCCCAAAGATACCCTTTCCCATGTTTTTTCCTACCATTACTTTCCTCACTGACTGTGGTACGGTACACATGTATTTTACCTTTTTTTAAGTTCATTTATTCCTTTATCCATCCGTATGTTTTCTCATATTTCCATATTTCCATATTTCCATATTTTCCCTCTTTCATTTATTTCTTTTATTTTATATTCTTTCTTTGCTTTCATTCCTTTTTCAATTTTCCTTTTGTTCAAAACAGACCCCAAGTTAGTCAAGCACTCCCCTTCATATTTTTAAAATTTCATTATATGTAAGAAACCCGCACTAAGGCAGGTAATGCCCAAGACGTGACATCACAGGACTCGGTATGACGTCATCAGCATCGTATCCTTCATGTATAACTACCCCAACCGGGTTACAGTTGAACATGGTTTATCAAAAGTTGAACATGGTTTAAAAAAATGAGTCTGAAAAATAAACCATGCTCAGTCCTCACTCCCTCATTAAAATCTACATCCACTAAATATCTTTTACACACTCTTACTATATTATTAATCAGCTCTCATTTAGTCCTACTTCAACATCTGAAAAGCAGTTATGAGTTAGAATTAGCAATCTAGAGTTAGAATCCAGGTTAGCTGAGAAATAGAGCTCTGAGAAATATGATAAATCACAATGTGTGAGATGTGTATGAGACATGACTAGTGTATGTAGTTTTAATGGGGGGGTTTACATGGCTTGGTCAAAACCACGCCGAAGGTTATTCCGGCCCGAAAAATCAACCATGTTCAACTTTTTATTAACCACGTTCAACTGTACGCCCCTAGCCAACCTTCTAGGGGCCAGCGAATCATTCTGATATAATCTGACCCCTACGTTCTCCTGCCTCGATATCTGATCTTTCTGTCGGTTCGGCTCCATTTTCTTGTTTTGGTGCAATTCTTGAGAATATGCCCTGCTTCTCCACAAAATAGGCAGAGATTGTTATCCATTCGGCGCTGTCGTTCCTCCATTGTAAGCTTCCCAGCCGAGGTTAGATTACGTTGACCATTCGAAGGAGAACTGCCAGAGGATCGTTTGGTTCCACGTCTATCATCATCCCTGTGATGGTTCGGTGGATTGAAGGATCCCTGCTTGCTGTTGTTCCTTTTGTCACGAATCCTATAAATAGCTTCGATTCGGGCGGCTAACGCAGCCAATTCGTTGCAATTGGTAGGGAGGTTATGATATTCCTGGATTCGATCTCGCACTGATGATTGTAGTTTGGCAAAGAATAGTTGAGTTAGAAATTCTTCTCGATCAAATGCTAGATTGCCAAGGATCTCATTGAATTTAGATGCGAATTGCTGCACTGATTGACCTGGTTGTTGCTTCAACTTCTCAAAGCGAATTGCTGCCGTAAAGCCTCTCGTGTGTATGTCTTCAAGGTCATTGTGCAGGAATTCTTTGAAGCCATCCCATGAGAAGGGTTGGTTCAACCTTCCGAGCTCTTTTTCCTTGGTAGCCCAGGTGGTCTCGACTGTTTTTCGTAACCAGCTCGAAGCATAAATGACCTTAATCCGATCGGTGGCGTACTGGCCCGGATTTAGCTCATATCTACGCTCGAGAGCTCGGATGAATGTGTTATATTCATGTAGGCTATTGCCGTAGTAAGCAGGTGGGTCAGGTAGTCGAATTTTTCGTTGCGGGACCAGTGTTGAAGTGAAGGTATTAGCACTGAGGGGGGTAAGTTCCCATGGTAATGTTAATTTAGGGTCTGCCTGCGCTGCAGGTTCAGGGGTATTCGGAGATAAACCGGTCTCAGACATAGTAGAGTGGTTGGAACGCTCGATCCTTGTAGAGGTAAGGGTTCGAGTGAATCACAAAAGGAGGTCCTTAGAACTCTAACTAGTTATGAAGATAAATCTATATAAGGTAATACGGTATTATTGGGAGGGATTCGAATAGAAGGATCAGGTATCGAGGAAGTAGAAGGTAGGGGTTAGAATATATTAGAATGATTCGCTGGCTCCTAGAAGGTTGGGCAAGCTGCTAGTTATATACATGTAGTATCGTAGGTACGATGCTGATGGCGTCATTGCAATAACTTGTTTTTGGGCAATTGATTGTTCTGGCCGAGCTCTGGCAGCCTTACTGTGTCTGATATGTCAATGTTGCTAAAACGTAAAGCTAAATTCCAAGGCTCTGCATCTTATTCAGCCGGTGTATTCCACGTTAAATAACATTTTACATTAGGTAAATGGAGATTCATCCAGGTAGAATGGCGGGGAAAATATACATCTTGGGAACATGCGAGGGGTGTAAATTATTGACCCGCCGGCCCAGGTGTGTCCAACCAGGGACATTCATGGGAGATATGTATACAGCGCAACCGGGGAGGGGGATGGCTAGGTGTCGAAAGGATATCTCCTATTGAATTACTGCTAGCTGGAGCTCTGATTTCCCCCTCAACGATCAGAGGAATTACCGGGCATGTTATACCCGTATGTTAGCTTACAAGCTAATGCTGCCATTACATATAAATTTTTGATGAACGTATTTTATAATCTCTATCATATGAGCGGCATTTTTTTGGTGGTGGATGTGGTGGGCATCTTTTAATTTCCGCAACCAGACTCAACGGACACTAGGGTTTCACGTAGATGAAGGATACAACATGATATTACAGTGCTGCTCGCGATGGGGGCCCAGGAATACTCCATCCGAATCTAGTATGCGGGATAAGGTCTGGGGTTATTTCAACCTATATATGTTTGTTTTGTCTTGGGTGTAAGAGTAACTTTGCTATTTTGAAGGCTTCGCACATGGGTCAGCTATTGATTGTTAGCATGTAGTAGCTAATTTCTCTTTTTCATCTTCTGGATAACTCTCTTATGCCGTTACACGATCAGTGCCTTTGTTACAAAACATCCCCTTTTGTGGTGCCGAGCTATGTTACTCCAACCTGCGCGCTGCGTGAGAACCACGAGTCGTCTAGACTGCGTTTAGGCAAAGACTTGTACCTCCATTCGTCAACCAGTGTCACTTAGGGAAACCAATAAATCATCATGAAATTCTGAAGAGGGTAAACGTAGTGAAGAAAAGGGATGAGAATATATGAGCTCGTCAGATGAATTGTTGGGAAGAGTTGAAAGTGGAGATGGTCGAGTGATAAGCAAACTCAGGTATATCATGCCAGTGGCCAAACTACGCGGTCGAAGGTAGTGGTGGTAACATTTTCATCTCAATAAGTTCCTCGAGAACACTGCGCAACGACGCGAGACTGTCGACAGTACCATGCCAACCGAATTTTCGGGATTTGTCCATGCTGTGAGGGATGGTATCCAAAATTAGCGCCCCATGGCTTCGATTGAAAGAGCAAGACTACAGATAATAGCAGATGTGTCTAAAACCGACCTGAACTGCACGGGAATTCCGGGCAAAATAGCGGCATCCGTGAGGCCGAAGATACGGTTGCGATCAGCCGGCGAGGAAAACGGGTTATAGGCGATGCCGTGTTTCTGTGACAGTTCTTGCCATGCTGCGTGGACCTTTGGGTCGTACGACCATGCGGCAAAACTGTACCTGAATTCCATCTTTTCGGGAGGCCCGAATCTGGAATTGGAGTCAAGCCCGTTGTTAGCGTCACGTTCATTATTATGCAGTTATATAACAGGGCATTTCAAGAAGACCAGCGGGTAAAAGATACGACCTACCCGCGGGGAGGAGGGTCAAATGGAAAGATGAAACACTGATATTCGGCATTTGGATCTGGGGCCTTATATCCAGTTCTGTAGATCTTTGCAAGCGCGGTCCAGAGAGCGCCCGGGGTCACAGCGCTGCAGTCGCAAGCATTGAATGCCTCGTTGCGGGCATCCGGATTTAGTACGGCCCATTCCGCCAGGTAGCTAGTCAACTTGGACGAAGATAAATCTCTAATAACATCGAACGAAGCTATATTTCCGGGGAAAATAAGCGGCTCGCCTAAATGAGCATGGACGGCAGCAAAGACGCCGAGACTGTATGCCAGATTCATGGCTGCGTCCCTTGCAGCGCCAAGCATGAATGAGGGACGAACGACGTTCCATTCCACGCCTGTCTCCTTGCAAAACTGGAAGAGCAGATCTTCTTGGTCATAGTAAAAGTTTGGTTCTAATGTCACGCGAGGGTCTGATTCTACTTGTGGTGATTTCGAGCTGCCTAGGTGTGAACCGTAGTTTTTGGCGCCAGTTTGGAGCATGAAGCGCTTGGGCGTAATTGAGGCAAGTTTGAGGGCCTTGAGGAAATTGGAAAGCAATGCACCTGGGATCTTCGAATTCGAGTCAGCTAGCTATGGGACTTTGCAGGTGTGGTCAAAAACGCCTACAAGGGACAGAAGGATAGCTAAAGAACTACTCGAAGCAGAGCAACCTTACCGTTCACATTGCACAACCCCTGTGCATTCGACCATATCGACCCGTCAGCCTTTGGAGGACCTGGATATACGAGTAGTAGAAGATGTAGTCACTGACACACCCCAAAAACGAATGTGTTAACAAGGAATATCCAATCAACCAAAGCCCCCTCCCTGCTCCTTTGAACAACCAGAACAGGGAAGGGGAGATTTAAAAGAGGAAGTAAACTAACGCCTTAACTCCATTCTCCACCATAGCCTTGGCCAAATCTTCTGGTGAGGTTTCCAAGAAGTCCAACTCGAGATGCGTCACATTTCCATACTTCCCATCTTCGACCGCTGCACGACGTGACATGGCGTATATATTTGCCCAGCGCTCGGGGGACTCAGCTAGCACGCGGACCATGTGGCTGCCCGACATACCGTTGGCTCCCGTTACAATCGCAGTCAGTCCCTTGGGAGAATCTGGCCCCGCAATAACAGGGAGGCCATGATAAATACCCTTCGATTGGATATATGTGAATTGCAGAGGTGCTTGCGTCTGTGCATCCATGGTTTCCGTCGGTTTAAAATCCTTTTTGTCCTCTTTCTTCACGGCAGGAGTTCTTGTAGGGGTAATACGATAAAGTAGGGATTTCACGATGTCCCGCACCGTTGATGGGTGGTTTCGAGTTTCTCCAGCGATGTGTTGAGCATTCGGGAGCTTTATAGTCGAACTAGCGGGGGTGACTGTGGGGGGAATGAATTCGCGGGGTGACTGTCAATGAAATAGTCACTTTTAGCTCTGTTTAGGTCGCCTTTGGGACAGAGAGGCTTATAACATCCCTGATATTGAAAGGCGCTGTGGTGTAACCGCAAAAGGATGTTATACTGCATCTGCAAGCTATGTTGCTCGTTCGCGCCCCAACTTCGGCCATGACAGGAACTGATAACCCAGTCACAAATGAGCTGGTCAAAAACACGCCGCACCCAGGGCCCCAGCAAAGCAATTGGGAGCCTAATTAGGAAATTCGCAGCACCTGCGGGACCTCAATCAACTTGCATTGGACTCATTGAATAGGACGAGGAACAAAAAAGAAAACAAAATTACCAAGCTAAAGTATATCTCAAGTAAATGTCCAGAAATGGCAAGTCGATTAAACTGTTAAAGGGAGTTAACTCTGCCCTTGGGACAGTGATGGGGGCCCCATACTAGTACGTCGGAGGGACAATGTGCTGCCAATTGACGGCCGCCATCTTCTTTACGGCCGAACTGCGAGGGAGGAGTCTGCATAAACCTCTGTAGGGATAATTAAGCGTCCACGAAGCCCAATAGAAGCTGGAGAATCAATGTATAAGGTGATCCTAACCACGATGAGAGCTTAGTTTTTGTAGTTAACCTTGTTCAACTTTTTTCCTTGCTACATTCAACTAGACAATCCCCGCCGAGGAACGAAAAATCGAGAACTTGACGCAAGGTTCGACCCCCCACTGTTTCCAGTCTCCCCCTCCCAGGAGACAGAACCAAATCTATCCAATCTCATATAAAGTATCCTGGACATTATCTCCGGAGCGATTCAAGTTCCATTTTAACGGCCGGCTCCGTAACGTGTTCTTGTATGGACCATGGTTTGCTACTGGCATCGGCCCGAAAAACGAAAAGCGATCAACGGTGGAGAATATCGCAGTACAGAGCACATTCATTTAATGTGCGTGATGTCCATGCCAGTGCCAGCAGGAGAGCTGAGCTAAATGGACATTGTGAAAGCTCCCGGCATTCTTCCGCCTGAACAAGTCGATGCTGACGATATTACGGATGGATGGCATTTTGCATACAGATGTGCTTACGGGCGGATTGCCAAAACTCTAACAAAACTTTCTACGTATAAAAGTTGGCGAAAATCCACTAACTCCAGACAATCATATTATCATAGCAATGTCCAGGAATCGATTTGAGATGGGTCAATAACCAAAAGAAGCGCAAAAAATAACTTAAAACTAATAAATAAATGTTAAAAAAGGGGCTCGCGGGTAGAGATGTCATACATTGGCAATATATTCCTTTCGCTCAAATTTTCTCGTTCTGCTTTTGTTCGACTCGGGTATGTTAATTCTTTTGCATTCGCTGTTAAACAACTAAGAAGTGGACAAGGGTATACATAGGTGAAATATATGTATATATACAGATGGGAGGGGAGAGGAGAGTATTGATAGGAGGAGGGGAGATTTAGCTGGGAGGCCGCTGAGTAGAGTGGTATGTAATGTGGCAGAGATGTCAATTTTTTATTATTTATTATTGATTTATTTTATTATTTTGGTTTTTTTTTTTTTTTTTTTTTTTTTTTTTTTTTTTTTTTAAATTTTTTTTTCCACCTTCTTTTCCTCCGCTTCTTTTTTCTTGTCCGTCTGATCACCACGGCTGGCCGGTCTCGTCCAATGGGAAAGTAAAAAAAATATCATCCCAAATATTTCCCAGAACAGCAAGTTCGTCGGGCTGGAACATGAATTGCATATTCTGGTTCGACATAAAGGCCTGTTGAGGATCCATTTCCGCATGCTGTGGATTTCCAATCCCACCTGGGTCCGCGGGAACGTAACCCTGAGTCGGATTCTGGGGGTTCTGGTTATGGGATAGGCCCTGGGACGATAAAGGTAGGTTTGGCGCTGTGGGGAAAATACCCATGCCCGCGGAGGGCGGGAAGGGGGTCCAGTGATCACTCTGGGAGACTGTGTTACTAGCAGCGTCGGAAGTGGCGGTTGATGGTTGGTGGTTCGGGAGAGAAGTGGGATGTGCATCGGTGCGGATATTCTGAGGGGATAAGTTTGAAGGGCTGTGGTGGGAGTGTTGGGTCTCTGGACCATCCACGGTTGTGTGAGTCTGGAGATGTAAGGGTGTTGGTTCTGAGTTACTAGTATCCTGAGGTGAAGTAGATATATCAGTTTCTTAAGTTTCCATAAAACAAACCTACATGAGAAATACTGATGGTTTCTTGGGAATTCACTCTCTCAACACAAACGGAAAACAACTACAAAAATCTCAGTACGAACCTGATTCTGCTTCGTGCTCTGTGATTCCGATTCCCGTGGCTCCGGTGCCAAATACGCCCGAATATCTTTCGGCTGGAAAAAGTTGTACGGGGGACCACTACCCGTAATTGGCTTTCCTTCCTTCCTCTTAATAAACCACGTCTTTAACATCCCCAGCATCAGGGCGAATCTGGATGTTACCCGTCCGGAAATGCGATCCCCAGAGTCCTTCAATTGCGCAATGATCTTGGTGAGGAAGTATTCAATCTTGAAGTCTGTTGGATTGAATACTTGACCCAATCGAGTGGCAGGATACGACGCGGCGGTATGTAGTTTGATAAGAGCGACGGAGGCGTATGCTGTACGGACAAAGTGGATGGTGGGGATAGATTGGATAGTTAAATAATCGAGGGAGATAAACGTCTCAAATGCGTCATGGATGGACGTGAGACAGACGGTTAGTGCGTCGACATGGGCGGGGGTTCCCAAGTCGATCGGATTTTCGGTGCTAAGGCTATTTAAAAAAGGAGGCTTGAAATCGTCGATATTGTGGTCAGCGTGCATGCCGATTTCATGCATGTAGACGTTGAGAATGAGCTCGTAGTGGTGCATGATAGCTATTTATTATTTAATGTTAAAAAGGGAAAAATCCAAAAAAAAGGAGAAATGGTAAATTTTGTATAATTTCACGTAGGTGCAAAATGTAGTAGATACGGAGGCAGAGGGATAAAGTGAAAAGGACTTACGAGAATAGCACTCAGGCGGAACCTCTTTTCGCCATTCCGCCAACCGTCTTTCGAATCCCTTTAAAGCATACTGACTTTTGGGGTCCGTTATGTCAACATTCGTGACGGGATCATCCATTGAAAACTGGAACAGGACCTCTTCGCCAAGGTGAGCCAGTTTCACCCATTGAACTAGTGTTTATCAGATGGAAGTGCGTCGGGCGACGTCTCGAGGATTTCAAGAGATTCATCCATGTAAGGGTGCCAACGCGTGAGAAGGGATCGCCGAAGGGACATTGCAACGCTGTCCTAGCATGTTAGCAAAAACCAGACACATAGCAATCCAGACATGGCACAAAGTCCATGAAGATCATACAAGAGTTAGGCAGTAGCAAAAGGTGTACAAAACATACTTAACACACATAAAATAGCACCCCAGCCACGCTCTCCTAGTCTCCGGTGCATCAGGCTCAACCATGACAGTTTTCTTGCCCATAAGTTCCCTCCACATGCCCTTTGACTTTGACTTAGCCGTTGACTTGGTTCTCCTGTTCATGCCTAGATCCATCGCCATCGTCGTCGCAATGTGTATGAGCTGGTAAAACTTCATTTCCTCGTAATGCTCCGGCGGCCTATACCATATCATCGATACCACAATTGCCTGCACCAATTCGAGAGATTTCGATCCCCTGACAATTACATGATCTGCAAAGAGGCGGAAGACCTCGTTCAACAGGGTAACTTGCAGCTCAGCGTTGAAAATGCCAATTGATACGGCCAGGATAGCTAATAAGAGGATGGGTTTCGTCCGACGCACCTCGGCCATGGTAGTTTCCGGGGGGAAGACGATGAATGGAAGTAACGGAGACATCTCGTTCACGTAGCGGTTGAAACACTTGAGAGCCATTTCCGTATCCACCACCCCTCGATCAATGACGTCTGTGTATTCATAATCGTAGCGAGCTTTGGGCGCTCGGTCGATGGGAGGCAATAGCGGAGCCCATGAATCGGGACCATTCCCGTCACCACCATGATTCGACCCATCATAGAAGGTCGACGAGCTCTCTGTCGTCGGGCTGTGAGGCCTGGCAGCCAGCGGCACCAGGACCCCAGCCCCGAGCCTAGGTTTAAACTCCCCGCTGGCAAATCTTTTATTCCCAGCTAGGCCCGCTGTAGAACCTCCCGTGGTAGCCCGTCTGTTTTCATTCCCTTGTCGTTGTGCGCCCATCCAGTGGGCAGCGGGCACGTCCTCTGCCGCAGACCCAGACCGTAACGCAGAGCTCTCTGGAGCGCCGCCTCCAACACTACTCCCATTCCTCGCTCTGGTCGCCTGTAGACTTGCGGTCAGTGCATCAATCTTCCGCTCCAGCTCCGCGACACGGCTATCTGCCTTCTTCTGCCGCTTGCGCGTCGGCACTGTAACGACGCAGCGGCGATTCGCCTTCGTACAACGTTTGCACGGGCCATCCGGGCTTTCAGGGTGCGGGTCGCAGCGCACCTTCAGCTGTCGACAGGCCTCGCAGGCCCGTGGGCGTTTCAGGTCGGCCAAGGGGTCGTTCGGGTTGTTCGGGTTGTTGATATCTGTCACGGCGATGGATTCGGTATATGTACCCGTCCTGGGCCCGAGCCCGATGCCGTGGTCCCGCTCATGGTCACGGCTATCATCATCGTCGAGGGCCCCGCTGCCAAGGGTTGCGGAGTGTGGAGACTGCTGGTTCGGGCTTTCGTAGTAGTAACTATTATGGGTTTGCTGGGCGCTCAGATCGGAGGTGGGCGTGGATGAAGACTGCGAGGGCGCAGACTGACGGAGAGGAACTCGCGGATTGGCATCCATGGAATCAGCAACTGTGGGTGGAACCGCGAACCCCTTTTTTCCTGGTGGAATGTGCGGGGCGGTGGGGGGCTGCCACGCGTGAGCGAGCGCTTTCTCCTGCGAGAGTTCGCCATAGTCAGCAGAACGTAATGTTCACGGTTTTGCGAAGAATATTGAGTTGGAAGAGGTTGCTTTGTCCGGGTGCGGAGGGCAGGGCAGGGTAAATAAACGTACGACGATGTGGGTGACACCCGATAGCGCACGGCAGACGGTGCTTTCAATGACCGATCTCAGCGATCTGACACCAACTGGAGGCCGATGGATGGGTGGCAAAAATATGGCGAACACTGAGCGCTTGGCAGCGTCAGGCACAAGGCATACCTGAGGATAGAGCGTATATCTGTCCGTTCGCGAACTGTTCGATATCGAGGGACAACGAGCCGGAGGAAGTCAGCGCGGGCGACGTCGGTGAGCGAGAAATTGTGCCAGCGTCCTTCGCTTGGACATCAATGACTACTGCCTGCTTAGGGCTGAGTCAAATGGCAGCAAAATGGGCAGGGAGCGGGCAGACAGCTCGTTCTCGTATTCCAAGGTTTTGCTTGACTGGGAACAACCGATAAACAGAAAAAGAAAAATTAGCCAATCGAAGAGGCGATAATCTCGCAGCCTAGAACTACTCGCTAGCCTCGGTATATTCTACAGAATAGTGAGGTTTTGAATGATAAACAGATAAACAGATAGACATTCTCTGAAGCCTTGCTCGCCCAGTTGATGACTGTGGTTGTGTTCCTCCGATGGCTGTCGCAGGGCTGGACGAAACACTTGCTAACTCTACGATAGTTACTCCGTACTCCGAAAATATTAGGCTATAAACAGGTTTTTGTGGAATTGAACCCGGCTATCCAAATAGAGTGCGCTTGAAGGGATATCAACTGGATGTGCACATATCCAGGACCTGTACACATAACGAGATGTCTACCATTGTTCCCACAGACTGAGCTGTAACTATCGCATGCAACAGGAAGGTGAGGAAAAAAGACGGAGCGAGAAGGTGGCAGCTTCCCGAGACGACTACAATTCAATCAAAACCAGACGCGCAAACGCCCACTACCATATCATGTAGAATGCAAAGCAAAGTACTCGGTATAATGAGAATAATAGCACGGAATTTGGAAACTCCCAAATCGCCCAGGCCAAGGGGGAACCCCAATAAAGCAGGGTTGAAATGAAAAACCCAACTAATCAATTCGCCTTATGAACCGGGCACTCCATTTTCCTTTCCAACCAGTTCACAATACACTCCTTATGGAACTTACACAGACACTCCAACCGTGCCAGGTGGTCCCCGACTTCATACTCCTCCATGCAAATCGTACATTCCTGCTGCACGCCCTCCTCGCCAACACAATCTTTCTCCGTAGCTGTAAAGGGCAACATCCGTAAGGGGCGGTCATTGTGATCATTACCATTGGAATTGGACTGTGACGTGCGACGACCGGTGCGGCTGGTACGCCCGTTAGTGGGATGCCCATGTCCGTGTCGGTGTCCGTGTCCATGTCCGATCTCGTGTCCTTGTATACACTCACGAACGTGGGCTTCTCGCGCGGCTTCGCTGCCATCTGCCGCGCGGGGTGGGAGGAGGCGGCCACAGATAGGACAAATGTCGTTCTCGTCAATCAGGTGGCGGTGGTGGTGCGGCGGGCCAGGAGGTAAGGGGCGATTTCGGCTGGAAGATGAAGTGCTTATGCTGTGGAGAAAGTCGTTTGATGGTCCACGGTGGTGTGATGGCATGGAGCGTGCTGTGGAGTGGCCGGTACGCTGCCGGGGGCTCTGCTATATGCCTGCTTTAGTAGATATGTCGGGATTGTAAGGGGAAAAGCATCCCACGAAGTTAGAGTAACTAAGAAGGGGAAAAAAAAATGAAAATGAAACAAGGGGATTCATACCGGGAATGCCGCACCAGATGGTGAAAAATATGTTGGCGGGGAGTAGCTAGGATGCAGGCCGCCAGTCGCTTGTTGTATTGATTGATATCTCAGCGGCATGCCTCGGACATTCGGGGGCACGGTGTAATCGAATGTTCCGTACGACGGCAGGTTTTCATCGGATAGCCCTTCCCGGCTTGCCACTCGCTGAATTTGAGGAGTCTCGGGCTGGAACTAGAATTAAAAGAATGTCAGCATAAAAACACACAAATTGTTCATTTATAACAGAACATGGCAATGAACAAAAACTAACAATCATGCCGCGACTCCGCTGTCTTCGGAGCTCGCGAGCTGCCGGAGAAAGCTGCATATTGGCGGCCGATGATAGGGATGCAGACGGTCGGTGAAATGGGTTAGTTCCACGTGTATATGGACCACCGTTACGATAGAAGTCTGGCAATGCAGAATGACGGTGTGTATGTGCATGAGAAGCCCCTGACGTATCGCCCGGCCAGGATGTCAGGGAGGATGAGAGCAATGAGCCAGCGCTTGTATAGCGCCTGGGAGGCTCAGGGTTTGGGTCAGGGACGCAAGGATTACATAAACGGACTTCTTCTCCGCCTCCCAAGGCTGAATTCGGAGAGTGTCGATCTCTTTGTTGTTGTCGTCGTTGCTGCCCACGGGTTCTGGCATTTGCTGACGAGCTCTCTTCATCGTTATCAATGAGGCTAATAACTTGAGCTTCAGAGGGATTCGGCAGAAGAAGAGTGGAACGATGTCTATCAGATTCAGGCGGACGAACAATGAACTGGCGTGGGATGGTGATTCTATGCGGTGAACACGAAGCACAAACGACACGCCCGCATTTCCTGCAGTGATGCTTTCTATACCAAAAACTGAACTGGGTACCACAGATAGGGCATTTCGAAGCTTCAGAGTCGGGTTGCCAGCGGGGCAGCTCGTAATCTGCAAAGCTATTTTCTCGATCCCGCAACGAGCTCAGCTGCCGCGAGACTGACTCTTGAGACCCTGAGAGATCAATCGCATTCTCCCTCGAGCTTCCCGGCAGTACTGGACTGGAACGTTCCCACGACTGAGTGACAGAGCTGCTAGGTCGAGGTCCTGACGAACCAGGATCTGCCGGGGCTCTACCAGCTCCCGGGCGAGCGTAACAGGTGATATCACTAGCGCTAGTGAGCCTCCTCTTTCGCTCAAGGCTCGTAGCACTGTTCCCCCCTGTATTGGTAGCGTACGGCCCTTGCTGTTGTTGATTATTCCCTGTCTCAGGGTGTTCATTCTGCAGAAACTCTAGCAGAGTATGTCTAGTTGTCTCAGCATTCTGGGTTGATCCCTGAGAGTCCATCAGCTGAGTTGTTGCTATGGCTCCAGTTGTTTCAAATGAGTCCGGCAAGGAAGCAGTGGAGGAGGAAGTAGAAGAATCCGGAGACCCGGAAGCTGGGGTGGGAGCTGTGGGAACATGACCGGTGACAGGGTCCACTGGCGAGGATGGAGAGGAGGATAACGACGCTGCGGAGTTGAACTCAGGAGATGACATTGAATGGGGCAAAAAAGGACTGGGTCGCTGAGGTCGATATTTCAGAAATGGTGTTTGTCTTGTTTCAAGAGGAGACGAGACCAATCTCCGTCGTTTGGACGAACGGCCGTCCTCATTAGCTCTGTCGAGCGGATATTCCACGTTGATACGGAGGAGAGAGCCCTCCTAAATAGCTTCTAAATAAGGTGCGTATGTGCCAGATTGATAGACGGTCCGAGGTCGACAAATGATAGTTTTGAAAAAGGTGATAAGGAATAGGTTTAGCAACAGACGACAAGATATTCTATTCTTCTTCTCTTCCTTGTTTCTCACTTTTCAGACCACCGTTAGGCCATCAAGTCTATTCGAGGCGGTTCAAGCTGTCATCTAGCCGTCTAGCTCCAAACATGTAGATACCCTCTACCCGGTACTCGGCGTTGTTCTGGTTAGTCTGAAATAGCTTTTCCACTCCAGATTATCAATATATGGCTTTGAAGAGACTCGTCAGAACAAACGCACTAGGAATAGAGTTCATATAAAAATGCTAGGAGTTCATATCTTTCGTGGGGAGGCTGGCCCAGTTTCCCAGTCACTTCTCGGTGTTTCAGGTTTTTAGAGAATGAGGGGAAAGAAAGCCACGAACAAGAATGGGCAAGGTGAGCCAGGCAGCTCCCCGGGATTCGCCACACCGGGAAAATGGCTTGAATCGACGCTTGAGGCGTGCAAGAGAGACGAAGTGGCGGTTTGGTAGATAGATATCGTATCCCACTCGTCACGGCGGAGTGGGCGATGAGGTGGTGGTTGGTGGTGAGGTATCGATAGCACGCAGCATAACTAACTACCTGTCAGTTACATAACGCGGGAGTCATCAGCCCGCTTAAGGGCCGAACGGTGATCCTTAGCCAAGACACAAACCACGCCGAGGTGACAGGTAACACCAAAACGCAGAAGAATTTGTCAGAAATATAGTACTCTACAATTCAGAATTCAGACATTCTAAAGTTGGCTTGAGACGGATTATCCGTATATAGGAGACTATGAGTAAACTGTGATCCGAATATTATCTATTTTTTTTTCCAGCTACAGCCTCCTCGAGTAGGCTTGTTTCGAAAATCA